ACCCCCCGCATCCAGAAGCAATAGTCAGGTAATACTTTTGTAAATTTGATGTTTAAAAAAATTACCTTTAATTTTGGACACAGCAATAAAAACCTAAGCACTTCTCCACTAGTGATCTCACTTCTCTGCCTTCAAGCCACAACAAACACTGGAGGGCTTTCCCTGCAGTGTCAACCTTATGGCTCTTGTGGTATCTTCTCTGTCCACAGGAATCTTTTCCAGAGCGCTGCTACCTGCAGGGCCGCCTGGAAAAGTGAGGAGGGAGAGAAGGAGCGGTGCTCCGGCCCTCTGTGTGGGGCCCTAATTCTAGATGTTTCCTCTGCCCAGAAATTCTCTTCCCCTAGGCATCTGCTCGGTTGGCTTCTCACCTCCCCAGAGTCTTCCACTTCAGTGAGACGGATCCCTACCATCTTTATTGATACTGCAACCAGCCTCTGCCCCCTGATGCCCAAGCTCCTGGACTCCCTTTCCCTGCTCTGTTTTGTTCTTCCACAGCAACCTCAGCTACTAAGTCACTCTGCTTATGCATTGCGCTTAGCATTTAGTATCAGAGTTCCTCCTTCTGCAATAGTGCAAGCTCTTCGAAGGCAGGCAGCTTTATCTGTTTTGTCCTCTGTCCTATCTCAGGTGCCCAGAGCTGTTCTAGGCACTTAGTAGGCTCTCAATTCATATTTCTGGAATTAAAAAAAAGGAGTGATTTCAGTGGGCTGTGACTCCATGACGAAGGAAGACGGGTGGCTTTTCCATGGGAAAGGGAAACGGGGAAGGCATTTCAGGTAGGGAAGCAACGTGAGCAGGTACTTGAAGACAGGAACGAGTAAGCCACTCTGTGGGCGGTGAACAGAAGACTCATTTGGTGGTGCTCAAGATGTGGGCATCAAATGCCAGGATGGAGAGTGTGAATTTTCATTTGTAGGTAATAGGAGGGAAGAGGAAGGCTGTTGAAAGATTTTGAGCAGGGAAGAGACTCCATGTGAGTAATATTTGGAGAAGATGAAGCTGGAGGTGGGAGTCCATTGGGTGGAAGTAGTCCTTCTGGGATGTTTTCCTCAATCCCCATTCCCGCCTCCCCTTCCTCGTGAGAACTCCAGCTCACTGGGGTGTTTCCTGTGACCCCTTTCTCTGTGCTCTCCCTGCTCCAAGTTACACCAAAACCAGAGTTTAAAGGTGTGCTGTGCACCTTAGATTTGGAGGGAATTGGTACATTTTTTTTCTCTGGGTAAAGTCAGGGGGGCATCATCCATAGCCTCTGGTTAGAAATGGCGTTCAGCACTTGGAATGCTTCCTCTTGCTTCTCTATCTTCAAATTTGTGCAGTGGCAACAGTGAAATTCCAAAGGAGTAAAAAGCACGAAGACCTTTGCCTGGTACATCAAGAATGTGGACAAATTTAGAACTGGAGCCTTGTGTTACAATTGCAAGTCAAACTCCAAGAGGGGGTAACCAGCCCATTAGCGCAGGAACCTGGAAACTGACTTTTCTGCTATCTCTCCAAACACACACACACATACATGCATGCACACTCTCACATACACACATTCATTGGGCCCTTGAAAGATCAAGGCCAACTGCAAAGCACCCATTCCCCAAGACTCCTAATTTATATTGGGAACTAGCTATAAAGCTCCCCTTGGCCCCCAATCTTCCCTTGCAATGATAAAGAGCATGTCACATCACACTAAATGTGACACTTAATCAAAACCCATCTTCTTTAACAAACCCTTAACCTCCAGCACACGAGAGTCACCAAGGCCAAGGGACGAGACGGGGAGCCGACTCAGGTGGCACATGCTTTGATTAAGATGATACAGATTTCCTTTTATTTCACTTTTATCAGAGTTGTAAAATTCCGAATCTGTCCCCTTTTTGATTTGACAACAGCACATTTCAATAGAGGTTGACACCAAAAAAAGACCACGACTTGTTCTCTCTTCAACCGGGAGTAGGTGATAATTTCTCTGAATCCTCTTCAGTAATGATCGTCAGAGCTTCTGATCTTCCCATAAGCAAGTTTTGCAAGGAACATGGTTAAACTGAAGCACAAACCTGGCTGGCATCTGGTCTCTTTCTTAACTGGTATCTAGATACCCTTAATCTATAGGCCCTGAAAAAGACCTCCCCTTCTCTGCCTCCTACCTTGGGTCTTTATTTCTGAGACTTAAATCCTCAAGTGAATTCTTTTGCCAGATTTCTGGGGCAGGAAATTTACTTCCCTGCCACACAGTTACTTTGGGCCTTCTGAGGGCTCTAGCAATTGTCCATTTCTATCACATGGGCCATTGCTTTCCTCATGACCTATTTAGGACTTTGTATCTAAATTATCTAATCATTGGCTAAATTGGGTAATTTACTGTAGAGGTATTGAATCCTTTTTATGAATGAGATACATGTTATAGGAGGGAAGACTTATTTCTGCTTTCAAAAACTTTTGGTCTTGAAATAAAATACAGTAAAGGTAATACAAGGTAGAATGACAAGTGGCTATAAGAACTCCAAAGCATAGGCAGTTGATGCTTTCAGTTAAGTATTGAGCAGCTACCGTGAACCAGCTCCTGTTCTAGACACTGGGATACAGCAATGTACAGAATGGACAACATTCCTGCCTGCAAGGTGCTTACATTCTGTGTGGGACTGGACATTTTCAACTTCGATATATTTGGCTCGTGAACAGCCCACACTTTCAAACGTTGTACATTAACCCTCGTCAATCACCTTCTGTAGGTTGAATTTGGACTTTCGAGTACCCACAAACAAGCAGAACTTCTCAGTTGTCTGGTGATGTCACTCCAGTAGGACTATGCTCGGTTGGTGCAGTGTCAGCCCGTCTGTTCCGTGGTGTCAGTGGCCTTATTGCTCGACAAAAAGTGAGCAGACATTTTAAAACTGAAAGTGTGGATGCTATTGGCAAGACTTGTAGTTCTTGTTAACTTCTTACAAATGAGATGAAGATAGAAACCATTAGGAAGAAAAAAAGTAAAATTAGAGAGCCCATTTAAAATACTGCAGGGATACTAAATATTGAGCAAAACAGATAAGGTATAATAAAGATTTAAAAAAATCATATTTTGTTTCTGAGAGAGCAGTCTTTTCTTACACTTTGGCAATCAGTCCATTAGGTTCTCAGCAATGGCGCTCTCTACCTCTAGGCGTGAGGCCTTCCTTTCTACCCTGGAGGGCTGGGTGCTGTGGTCAGTACCAAGAAAGGGCCAAGACATGGCCCAGTCCTTCACGAAGATAACGGAAAATAGAATGGCCAGCATATTTCAATACAGAGGGGAAAAAAAGAGTTTTCTAAAAAAGTCTATGTTACTGGCCAGAAAGAGGAGATAAGAAAACAGCAAAGAAGCTCATCCTTCCCAAGATCGGGTTAAGCTTAAAAGTCACAGACCAACTTAGAATGGGAGGCGAGAGTTGGAGCCAGGGCCAGGCCCTGCTTTAACCCTTCTAACAGGAGGCCTCTCCCTCCATTGCCCCTGACGGACAGGATTTACCCTGTTCTTCTGTGTACCTGGTGTTTAGCCAGGGGACTGGCCTAGGATTATTCCTGAATACAAGTCCTGAATAAGTCAAGACAGGATGACAGCGGCACACTGAAGGGACAGTGTAGAAATGTGGGGGTGAGGGCAGCAGGAACAATCCAAAGCTGTGATAACAGGAACTTACTGAGTCCTGACTCTGTAGCATATGGTCTGTGTCCTACTTTCCCTCACACAGGCCCCTGAACCACTCCTGCAGCAATGCAGCCTGTGCAGGAGGAAGCCACAGCCCTAACAGCTGGTGAGATCTGGGTGCAGAAGGCTGCATTTGTTCTGCGAGAAGCTCCCTTCCCACATCTTGCCAGGCAGAGGGGCTCAGGGTGGTACTGCAACCCCTGGCCAAAGCTTGTAGGATTAGCTGGCAAGTATGGTAAAAATAAATACAGAAATAAATAAATAAGTAAATATTAGATTTTTTTTTTTTTTTTTAGACGGAGTTTCACTCATGCTACCCAGGCTGGAGTGCAATGGCGCAATCTCGGCTCACCGCAACCTCCGCCTCCTGGGTTCAGGCAATTCTCCTGCCTCAGCCTCCTGAGTAGCTGGGATTACAGGCACGCACCACCATGCCCAGCTAATTTTTTGTATTTTTAGTAGAGACGGGTTTCACCATGTTGACCAGGATGGTCTCGATCTCTTGACCTCGTGATCCACCCGCCTCGGCCTCCCAAAGTGCTGGGATTACAGGCTTGAGCCACCGCGCCCGGCCAATATTAGATTTTTTTTTAAGTTTCCAGGAGTCATCGTTTACTTTTCTTCCTTGTCACTTTCCTGCTATACCTGAGAGCTGACCCCTGGGAGGATTAAGAACTTAAATACAGAATCAAGTAACCAATGTGTAAATTTACGAGCGCATAAACAGGTGCGTAGGTGTGTACTTGGTTTTCCTCTATGAGTTTTTGTGATAAAATTGTATTTATTTATTTATTTACTGCTCCTTGCACAGCTGGGCTACCCCATAGGCCGTGTGCCCAGGGGAGCCTATATTTTAAACTCTTTATTATAAAAAACGTTTCAATGTGCATTAAAGGGGAGAGAATAGGCTGAGTGTGGTGGCTCATGCTGTAATCCCAGCACTTCTGGAGGCCAAGGTGGGTGGATCACCTGAGATCAGGAGTTTGAGACCAGCCTGGCCAACATGATGAAACCTTGTATCTACTAAAAATACAAAATTTAGCCAGGCGTGGTGGTATGGGCCGGTAGTCCCAGCTACTTGGGAGCGTAAGGCAGGAGAATCACTTGAACCCAGGTGGTGGAGGGTGCAGTGAGCCAAGATTGCACCACTGCATTCCAGTCTGGGTAAGAGAGCGAAATTCTGTCTCAAAAAAAAAGGGGGGTTGGGGAGAAAATAGTATAAAAGAATCCCATACACCCATCATCTAGATCTAACCATTAACACCTTGGCATATTTGGTTCATCTTTTTTTTTCTTCATATTTAAAAACAAACTCCAGACATTATATTTTACCCTTAAATACTTCAATACACACCATTTAAAAGATAAGGACGTTTTCTTGTATAACCACAACACCATTATCACACATATCACAATTAACAATAATTCTTTGCTATTTTCTACTACACAGTCCCAATTCAAATCTTCCTGATTATCCCCAAATCTCTTCTTCCAGTTGGTTTATTTGAATGAGAATCCAAACACGGCCCACTCATTGCATTTGGTTGCCACATAGCTTGGGTTTGTTTAAGCTAGAGGACCATTTTGAAGGACCATTAAGGAAGGGGTTGCTCTCACCCACCCATGGCTCTGATCTGGGCCTCAATGAATTTCTCCAGGTGCACCCTGAGGCCCCTCCCTAGCAGTCCAGGCAGCCAGAGCAGAGTGACTAAGGTCTGGAGGAATGAGCCTTGCCATGGAAAAACCAGAAACTCACAGATTTTCAAAATTCCAGGCAAGATACCATGACGCATGGGAAAATGTCGGATGCAGTTTCTGTCCTGCGGCCCCCGACGAGAATAAAGCTTCCACCAGGCTGGAAGGAGAGAGAGAAGAGGAGGCCCCGCAGGACAGAAGGAGCGAGAGGGAACGCACTCTGCACGCGCTGGGCCCAGGCAAACCGGCTCCATTGAAGAAGCACGACTTTTGCTGAGGAGCTGGGCGTCGCCCTCACTAGGGTCCTCTGGTGAATCTCTTCCCTCGACGGTTTCCCTTTGTTTGTCCAGTAAGAAGGATGCCTATCTCTTCCCCGAGAACGTTGCGGTCAGAGGCCCACTTTGCCCCCTGGGAAGGCCTCTTCTTCATGGGAGCTAGGCCCTGACAGCCCGCAGCATTAGCGGTGCATGGAAGGAAGCCTCTGCCACCCACCCCGGCCTGGCCAGCAGCGTCTCGATGCCTCAGGGCGGGGCCTCACCGGCACTCCGCGCTCCCCCGGAGAGTTCAGCCACGTGCTCGGCTGGTTTCTCCACATTAGAAACGGTGATCAAAGAACAGCACGTCTTCCGCGACAGGAGGGAGTGCCTGGGGCCCGAGCTGCGTCCCCTACACCGTATTCCGTCTCACACTGTGTCCTGGGCCTATCGGCCCAGAACAGGCCCAGAACAAGCCGTGTTGGTGACCCCGGCCGCGGAGGGGACAGGCTGAGCCAGCGCTCGGAGGCCTCTGCGCTCTGGGCCTTGCCTTCCGGAGCCTGGCAGGCGTTCCGGTTGCATCTGCGTGGAAACTTGTCTCCGAGGAGCACATCTGGGGAGACATTCATCTTCCCTGAAGGCCCAGTCAGTGCTCTTCAGGCTCTCGTCCTCTCTTACTGGCTTTGGTGGCGGCGGTGCCGAGAGAGGCCTCCCGTGGGCCCCGAAGCGCTGGTGCCCCGCTCTGGTGGGGCCTCTGCAGGCGCACGCGCGCCTGGCAGCTGGCAATCTGGCCTGCATCTGATCAGTTTTATCTGCAGAACATTCAGAAAATTTCTCCCCCCCGCCCCCCGAAGAACACGTTGACCCTCTGAAGCAGGGAATGCAGTGCGGGTTGCCTGCGGGAGGACGCCCTGGATTTTGATGAGGCTGGTGCGGGACCCGCGATCAGCCTCAGAACGCGAGCCAAGAGGGTGGGGACAAGGCTCCTCCGGGGAGCTCCGCATCGTCCCCGGCCTTCCATTCGCCGTGTTTACCAATTGTGAAAGCAAATCCAGCTGTTGGGAGGAATTGCTTCCAGATGACATGATGGGAAAGGAAAACACATTTTATAAAAAAGCTGCTGAATAGAAACCAGAACATGTCCGCTCCGTGGGCCAGGATTGCATAGGGGCTGTTTCCTGAGGTTGTGCAATACGCCAGCTCCTGGGGTAAGGAACAAGAACAGTGCAAATGTTCCCCCGCCAAAGTCAGGAGACCAGAGCTGGGGCTGGGCTTGGCAGAACTTGGGGAAAATGAGTTGACCTTGCTGGGCCACCGTATTTTTCTCATTCTCAACAACGTTTTCCCACCTTCACTGGAGATCCCTGCGAAAGCCTCAGAGATTTTCTGTGTGCGGAACTGCGTGGGTGAGAGAAACCACGAGAAAGCAAGGACATCTTGCTTTTGAAATGGGATGCGTTCCTCAGCCCCCCAGCGCAGAATTTGCTGTGTTGGCTTTCTCGACGATTTTAGAAGCTCTCTAACGAGCTGGAATTAAAGTGTCCCTTTACTAATTTGGTTTTACAGGTCACTGGATAAACCTACTTAGGAGGTTTGGAAGAGGATTAGGACATTTGTGGCTCTTCCAAGTTGACTTTCCAGGCAGGGTCAGTCAGCAGCTGGAGACTCCCCTGGCTCGGGGCCAGAGCTCTTAAAAGCTGCAAGTTTTTAAGGACCTGGTGAGCACAGTCATCCAAAAAACAGAAAGTTTGCAGGGAAATTAAAATGCAAATGTCCCAAAGCAAGGCACACATTCCCAAGCTTGCCTGCCCAGAGAGAGGCCAGAAAACTCAGCAGCCCTGTTCCCTGGGGCGAGGGAAACAGCCCAAGTGATTTAGTTACTTGCCCAGCCTCAGCCTGGAGCAACTCTCAACTCTTATTGGGGCGGAATAAATTTGAATAGCCAGGGAATTGCCTAAAAGCAGGAGATCCCCTTAAGAGAGGAGGCTGTAGCCGTTAGCCACAGGTAGCTCTATAGATTATCATTTAAAACGCAGTGCTTCAGTCTCACTAGCCACATTTCACACTAGTGACTGCCACATGAGACCCTGCAGATCAAATGAGCATTCACTCATTTATCTTACAAGTATTTATGGAGTGCCACGGCAGTGACAATGAGCAAAGCATAGAACATCTCTGCCCTCGTGGAGTTTCTGTTCCAAAGGGGAAGATGAACACTAAAGAAACACCATGAGTGAGTCACTTTTTTTCTGTCTGTTGCAGTCCCGGGGGGAAATCGGTGACGTACTCAATTGAGTAACTAAAAGCGTTTAATAATGGATTTACTAAGATGTGGGCAGAGATCAGGGAAACAACAAGGCATAGTGCAGTCTCCGGCATGGGAGCCATCGTCGTGGCCAGGCCTGCAGGCGCAAGCGCAGGTCCAGTTCCCAGCCGGGGCACCAGTGACAAGAGCCAGGGAAGGGCTGCCTGACAGGAGCAAGGCCCCTGAAAGACAGGCGGCTCGGGAGCCAAACTGGTGGGGGAGGACCTAAGTGCTCTAAGTCCACTCCCTTCCCCGGCCTCCCACTGGCCCAGCCCCAGAAAAGCCAGAGGAGAGGAGTCAAGGGGAGTACTTGGCATAATCATGCAGTCTAGAAAACCCAGCAGGGTGGGTGTGGAGTCTGGGGCAGAGGGGTCCTGCGGGGAGGGAACTAGGAAAAGAAATGGCTTGAAGCACAGGGCTCTCTCACCACCATCCCCCACCCCTCCTATGACATTCTGTCCCCTTCCCCATGCCCTTCTGTCATCTCTGTGGCTCTGCTTTCTGCCACATGTCACATTCTCTCTCTCTCTCTCTCTCTGGGCACTCTCACAAGTGCCTTGGAGCCAAACCAGGGCTGCTCTGCTGAAACTGAGTCTCTGTGCTCTGTTTACCTTAGGAGCATAGACAGGAATTTTTTTTGTTTTTTATGTTAAATAGACTTAAGCTTTTAGAATAGTTTTAATTTTACAGAAAAACTGAGAACATTGCACAAAGAGTTCCTATATACCCCACTCCAGCTTCCCCTATTATTATTATTATTATTATCGTTTTTAGAGACAGACTCTTACTCTGTTGCCCAGGCTAAGAGTGCAATGGTGTGATCTCGGCTCACTGCAACCTCTGCCTCCCAGGTTCAAGCAATTCTCCTGCCTCAGCCTCCTGAGTAGTTAGGAATACAGGCGCTCGCCACCATCCCTGGCTAAGTTTTTGTGTTTTTAGTAGAGATGAGTTTTTGCCATGTTGGCCAGGCTGGTCTTGAACTCCTGACCTCAAGTGATCCACTGCCGCAGCCTCCCAAAGTGCTGGGATTGCAGGGGTGAGCCACCGCGCCCAGCCCAGCCTATTGCTAATATCTCACATGAGCATGGTATGTGTGTTGCAATTAATGAACTAATAATGACTTTTAATACCTAAAATCCATATTTTATTCTGATTTTCTTAGTTTTTACCCTCAATTGGACCTGTCTCCTTGCCTACTCTGCCACTTCCTGACTCTGATGCCTGTTTTCTCTAATTCTCTTCCGGGCCTTCAGAGACTAATAGAGAAAAATCATAGAACTGTGGTGAGTGAGTCCAGTCTAGTGAGAGAACACATGGAAGCATTGCATAGCTACAAAGCAATCAACAAAGGCAAAGTGGTTTCAACAGCCTCCTACCTAAAGCACAGGTGCTTAAGTGCCAGCTCCAAGTAGCTGGGACTATAAGTGCGTGCCACCATGCCTGGCTAGTTTTTAATTTTTGTTTTTCAGAGATGGGCCTCACTTTGTTGCCCAGGCTGGTCTTGAATTCCTGGGATCAAGTGATTCTTCCGCCATAGCCTCCCACAGTGTTATGATTACAGGTGTAAGCTACTGAGCCTCACCTCCCGTCTCTCAACTTCTGAGCATTCCCCTCCTCAAAGCCATCCCAGGGCATTCCCTTATGCCCTTCACCCAGCTTCACCTAAAGGTAGTATCTTACATAACCATGGTACAGTTATCGAAACTGAGAGATGAACGTTAATACAGAGCTATTAGCTAAACTACAGACTTCATTCAGATTTCACCAATTCCCCACTCATATCCTTTTTTTTTGTTCTAGAATCCAGTCCAGGGTCCCACATTGTACTGAGTTGTCACATTTCCTTAAGTCTTCACCAGAATATGACAGTTTTAAAGGCTTTCTTTGTTTTTCATGACCTTGACACTTTTAAGTTATTGGTCAGGTAAGCTGTAGAATGTCTTTCAGTTTGAGATTGACTGATGTTTTCTTTTTTCTATTTTTTTGAGATAGAGTCTTGCAATGTAGCCCAGGCTGGAGTGCAATGGCACAGTCTTGTCTCAGTGTAACCTCCGCCTCCTGGGTTCAAGTGATTCTCCTGCCTCAGCCTCCCAAGTAGCTGGGAATATGGTGCCCGCTACCATGCCCAGCTAAGTTTTGTATTTTTAGTAGAGACGGGGTTTCACTATGTTAGCCAGACTGGTCTTAAACTCCGGACCTTGTAATCCTCCTGCCTTGGCCTCCCAAAGTGCTGGAATTACAGGCGTCAGCTACCACTCCCGGCCAACTGATGTTTTCTTATGCATTTTGGGGAAGAATATCACGAGGTGAAATGATTTTCTCATGGCATCATATATTGGGGGTACATGGCATCAGTCTGAAAGATTACAGGCGACATTCAGCTTGATCACTTGGTTAAGGAGTTGCCTGCCAGGTTTTGCCACTATGAAGTTACTAATTTTCTTTCTCAATACTCCATTTGTTAGAAGTGAGTCACTAAGTCCAGCCCCATACTCAAGGGGAAAGGAATTAAGCTCCTTTTCTGGAGAAAGGAGTATCAAATAATTCATGGACATATGTTAAAACCAGCACGGTGACTAATTAATGTTTTTGGGTAGATACTTCGAGGCTATACCAAGATTCTATTTCTGTTTAACGTTTCATCTACTAATTTTAGCATTCGTCAGTGCATCTTAGCTGCAGCAGTTATTACTGTGGGGTTCAAATGATGACCTTCTACTTACCTTGGGCCTTCTACCTTTGGAATCCTGTAAGGATAGTTTCTCTCTTCTATTTGTTTATTTGTTCATTCAATCATTTCTTTATATCAGTGTGTACTGTGGAGATTTATTTTATTCTTTGGATTAGAATTCAGTACTGTTTTTTTATTGGTCAGTTTGTTTCTGCTTATGACTTTGTGAGCTTTTTGGGCTTGCTCCTGTGTCCTTTTTGACATGATGTCCCCCTTTTTTGCATTTTGCTCTGTTTGGTGTTTTTTTTTTTTTTTTTTTTTT